AGTATTAGTAATTGGCTAGTACGCGCGGGAATAATGCCTTCCGGAAGGTCTTTTAGGGTGCGACTATGCAGACGCGAGCGAGCGAATTTTCCGAGAGAGCGAGAATATGTGGCGAGAAGAGGCGAGACGCGATAAATATCAAAACCTGTCAGATATGTGCGAGAACCAGAAATTCGTTCTCGCTAGCATTATTTCTCGCTTCTCGTTTGTGCATGGTTTTCCTTTGCGAAAACTAAATCGATCGCAACCCCTCGCTCGCTCTAAATTCGCGTCTGCATAGTCGCACCCTTAGGGTAAACTGGCACCTATTTAGGCGTGAAACTCTACGTGGCAAGCCCGTCCGAGCGAGGTGGGAACCCACGACCGAACTTCCAGTGTTTAGGGACTGATCCACACTATAAGTGCAGGGAAGGAGTTCACTCCGCAACTGGTGGGCGACAGTTCCACAACAGAGAACCGTTAAAACAATAAATTAAAATTTAAATAAAAATAATTTATGATAAATGTAATTTACTAATAATTGAATATATAATGGAATTAATACTATACTATCAAATAGTACATTAATTAGACTTTAAATTAAATTACATAAAATTGAAATAAATTTACTTGTCATTAACATAAGCAAGAAAAAACTAATTTTTTGATAAAAAATACAAAATACAAGCAGATAAAAAATATACCAAACAAAACTACACATACTTGCATATTAGCATTATTTTTTCATACTTCTATTATAAAAATTTGATTTTACACGAATTTTTAAAATAATATAAGTAAATTCACCCAATGACCTTCAACTTGGTCTTAGTAAGGGGACACCAACAAATTTTGGCATTGCATGATAAGCAAAGGGTAAAATTATTTTTTAAAAATAAAAAACAATTTATTAATATTTATTAATTCAAATTTTAAAAAATTATTTAGTAAAATAACTATTTCTGTGGTGTTAAGAAATATTTTTAGAAATCTGAGAGATTTCGATCAACAATGGTTTAAAATATTCTGAAAATCCCAGTTCTCACACCTACTATATAAATATAAACATGCGTTTATGATAGATCAGTGCTTTTCAACCTGTGGGTCGCGACCCGCAGGGGGTCGCAGAGCCTTACACGGGGGATCGCGGGTAAAAGAAAAAGACAAGTGTTTGTAAGTCCTACACTATAATAAAAAAACTACAGTTTCAGTGACAAGGCTGTGCCTGTTTATTTTACAGTGCAATTGGTTTTTCGATGGATATTTAGGTCTCAACAGAAAGAAAATTAAACACGTAGTTTTTAAAATCACTGATATAGTTTTAATATGGCCCTGGGGGTCGCCAGAATTTTTTAACTTGTAAAGGGGTCACGTATTCAAGAAGGTTGAAAAACACTGTATAGATGATTTTGATTTAGGCTATTGCGACTTGATAGAGCACAAGATAGACAATGGGAACGTTCCACCGATCTGTCGTGTCCCATACCAAATTCCATTTGCCCAAAGAGAAATAATGGATGAGTTAGTGGAAAATATGATCAAAAGTGGTGTAGTTGAACTGTCCAGCTCCCCATGGTCTACACCTGCGCTATTGGTCTTTAAGAAATATCAAGGTCACAGATTAGCTGTGGATTACCGCCAATTAAATAAAATTACGAAGATAGACGCATACCCATTGTCCCACATCCAGGACTCATTGAGTGTGTTAGGAAAAGCATGATATTTTCTCTTCATGGATATGTTAAAGTAAAGAAATAGACCCCCACCTATGTAAGCAGAACCTTCGTTTTTAACTTAATAAACTGTTTTATAAAGGTGCTAAGTGATCATTGTCTCCATTTCCACCACCCACATATGAGTCACCCTTTGTCATCCCTGACTTAAGATTAAATAATTCCCTCTACCCTCTGTCCGCATATCCACAACTATACTTAACTATTGTTTTTATACTAATGAAACCGTGTTGAATTTCAAATGGTAGCTGTATTACGTATTATATAGGTAAATGTCTCTTCAATCCGAACAAAATTTCGGTAGACTTTCTCACAGCTCAACAGGTTAAAAATCTCCTTTATTGTTTTTCACATATGCATTTCGGGCAAGTTTAATTTTGCCCGAAATGCATATGTGAAAAACAATAAAGGAGATTTTTAACCTGTTGAGCTGTGAGAAAGTCTACCGAAATTTTGTTCGGATTGAAGAGACATTTACCTATATAATACGTAATACAGCTACCATTTGAAATTCAACACGGTTTCATTAGTATAAAAACAATAGTTANTTATAATTTGTAATTAGTTGTGTAGCATAATGGTACGGATTTCGATGTAAAACACCCTTAAGAGAAAATTATAAATTTGAAAACATTGTAAATTGATAGTACAAGTACTGTAAAAAAGATGAAAGAACATGTGGGAAATCTTAAGGTATTATAAAGTGTCTTTTTATGTCTTGTAAACATTTTCTACTATAAAGTTGTTTTGTGTAAATTCAATATGAATTTGTTTTGTAGCACTGAAGAGGGGCAGGAAAATTAAACTTGCCCGAAATGCATATGTGAAAAACAATAAAGGAGATTTTTAACCTGTTGAGCTGTGAGAAAGTCTACCGAAATTTTGTTCGGATTGAAGAGACATTTACCTATATAATGAAACCGTGTTTTATATTTCTTTCCTTACATAGACACAATGTAGTGAAAATTTTCAAACACTAGGCAAATTTTACATGGGGTATGGTCGCCTTCTGTATTGTCGGATTATAATTCGCGTATTTATATGTACCCTCTTATGTAATGTTTAGTTGGCTGAGGAGGGGCAGGAATCCGAAAGAAAGAAAGCTAAATAAAAAGATAAAAAATTTGCCTAGTGTTTGAAAATTGTCACTACATTGTGTCTGTGCAAGGACATTGTTGTTTGCTTCATATCTAGTAGAGTCCATTATCATTTAGGTAAGTGGCTACTATTCAATTTTCACTAGATTTGTTCAAACGGTTTGACACAGAAGACAATTCTTACTTCTTATGATATACTTTCATTTATTTTTATAAACCTTATTTTTATTAACTTTATAGTATTTATATAAAGTGTCTTCTGCGTCAAACAGTTGTGACAAATCTAGTGAAAATTGCAAACAAAATAACCAAAATGATAAATATATAATTAACTAATAACAATTAATCAACAATTTCTACTGCTTATAAGTAGAAATTGTTGATTAATTGCTAACACTTTAAAAATATTTAATATTTGTAATAAATTCTTATTAACTATGTTGTTAATTAAGAACAAAAACAATTTCAAGTGTTATTTTATTGACGTCAAAATGTAAGCTGGTTACGACTACATGTCCAGGTGTAGTCAAAATACGCAGCTTTTGCTAATTGCAGTTCAAGTAGAAGTAGAAAATAAATAATTTAACTCCATCACAAATATAATTGTATTTATAAAAACGTTTTATTCTTCTTATTAATCTCAAGAACAAATTCATAGATAGACGAAAATCGAAATCAGATATGGAAAGCTTAGGAAATAAAGACCACGATTAATTTTTAAATTAAAATATCATTAAAATTTAAGCCTGGAATTGTCAATATACGTCACGATAAATAATTAAGATTTTTAATTAATAAAGTTTAATTAAAGGCATATTTTTGAAATTGCTCTTTCACATGCAAAATTGTAACTAAAACAATTTTAAATTAAATATTTTTTTTGGGAGCTATGTATATGAATTTCGAAAATAAATAATGAATTTTGAATATTTTCTCTCAGAAGTTTAAAAAATGTAAATATGCAAAATCAAAAATAATATGCATTACCTGAAATTTATGCAGTAGAATTTCTTAGTTAAATTAATTATAAAAGCATTTAAAATATTTAATATTTACGAAAAAATTCTCTATTGTTTAGCTTGAAAACGGTTTGTTATTTGCAATTTACAAGTGTTATTCTTTTCAAGTGTCAAAATGTAAGCCGCCTACGACAAAGTGTTTGATGTGCGGTTTACATATGCAGGTTTTACCAACTACGAATTCAAGTAGGAATTATATATAAATATTTTAATTGCATCTACGAATATTTATTTAGAGATTTTATTCCATTTATAATTTAGGGGTAAAAGTGTAACAGAATTTAAAATATACTAATTACAAAATTATCGTATTTGAATTTCCAAATTCAAAATAAAAAAGCAATTTATAATTTAATTTCTTTTACTTGGAAATTAAGCCAGACTGCAATTGTTGATCATCTTTTAATTTTAACAGAATCACCTGACTTCCGATCCGGACCGGAAGTTTGTTCGTGGTTAATTGGGTGAGTCTGTCCGTAATTTTTTTCATATCTGATCTCGATTTTTACCTATCTAACTTCGTTCTTGGGTTTAACAGGTTAAGCAGACATCAAACAGACCAACGACAGTCGGAAATTTGAATATTTAGAAACAGAAAAATTTAGAAAAAACATCAGCATTTTACACACACATTTATTAAAGTTAAAACAGATGAAATATCGTACATTCCATTCCCATATGACGTAGCAGCTAAAAGTTTACATAAGTGGAATCGCGAGGTTGATCGAATAGTTGAAGACACGTCAGTGCTCGTGACAGTTTTAAATTACGAATTCTCTTCCAGGTTTCCAGCAGGAAGTAAAAGCATCATGAAGACCTTTTTGTTGCTAGTTTTAGTTTTAAGTACGTATTTCTTTTAAATATAAATTAGTAAAATTAGTTTTTTTTTCCCCAAATGGTTTGGTTGGGAGGATGAATTTACTCTAAAACTGATTTTATTAGAGAAATAGAAAGAAACGTTTTACTGAAAATTTCTCACAACAAAAATATTTGTTTATATTAAATATACTGTAAAAAAACAAAATATTAAAGACTAATGCGAATAAATTATTCTTGTTATCTTCTTTGTCGTCCACTTTCATCACCGAAACATCACTGTCTTTAATGTTTTGTATTTTTACAATGCAGTTCATACTCGTATAAATATATTCTGTACTGGATATTTCTGAATTTTTCTATACAATGTAAAAAATATTTGTTTTTAAATTGTACAGTACCTTATTTTTAAGGTTTGAAACTGCCACAAAGTCTCTGTCAACTGTGGAATTTAGTAAACCTTCTAGACCCGACTTTGGATTTAAAAATTGTTCGTATTCCCACTTCGGATGACATATTTCAACAGTTGGAAGATGCTAAGAATGTGAGTAAAAAAGTCATAACTAACACAATTAAAACAATAGTACGTGATATATTGCTTCAATGTGCGGTATAGTAATTATATAAGTCTTTGTTTATTTTTGTTATTTCCGTAGCTAAAACATTTAGGTACTAAATATCATATAAACAGTTATAAAAGTTATAACATGTATAATATTAATAGAGTTTAAAATAACGTTGTAAGAAGTTCGAGTCCGAGGTCTTCCTCTCCACCAAATAATTAGCTGAGATGTTATCAGAATTCATAAACTAATAAACTGGCTGAAAAATATGGCATACTTAGAATATGTGTATTATGGTTCGTTGGAAAATCACCTTACGACCCGAACTATAATATTCATTTCTTTATTAACAAGTATATACAGGTTGCACGTTCAGAATGATAGAGATGTCTTCGTAGCGCGTGCAAACTGTATCGCAATATTTGTAATATGCATCTCTTTCTGGGCTTCTTTTATTTCTTTACCTCCCTATCCTCTTTATAAGGCATTTTGCAAAACTAACGACTGTGCAATACTGAGTTAGGCCAGTAGTTGTCACTTAGTCCAACTCTATGGGGACTTCTGACTAATTTGTTAATTATGCCTAACGCTGAATTGACCATCCATTTAAAAGAAAACCGATCCTTCCAAGCAGAAAACAAAATCGTTTTGTCTTCGACGTCTTTTGTTAAGGCTACTTGACAATATTTATACTAATTTATATTATTATTAGTGCCTAAAGATCCTACTTTTTTCAAGAAATCTGTTAAGTAATAGAGAGGTTGAGGCGCACATATTTAGCCCAAAACGTGTACAGGTAACGGGTGAGCGCCGCCATCTGGCAGTTCTGGACCGTCGATAGTGGCGTTTGCTACGTGTAGCTTGGTGAGTACATGATCGGCTTAAACGTTTTCATTTTTTTCGTGTTTGGGGTTAAAATTATGATTTATTTTATTAAAATAACGATTATTTAAGCATTTATGAATAACATTGTAAAGAAACAGACGATTTTAATCCAAAAGTCCTTATACCACGGC